ATTAAAAAAACATATGGATAAAATGAGAACACGTTAAACTAAGACTTTTCAAAATGTGCAAACAAAATAGTACTGGCTAAATATTCAGTTTTATTGTTAAGCCCAAGATGAACTTTTGACCTACACCAATTGCTAAAGTACAGGACTCCCAGAAGCAGTGAAAAACATTTCAGCAACACTCCTCTCTCACCAGCAACAAAAATTAGTTATTAAATATCCATAACACTGTCCTATTGTGTATCACAGCAGCTCATTGCAACAGAATTTAACTACTACAGCTGATAACTATTTAGCTAGTTGCTATTTATTTTGAGTGAAAGACAATAAAACCAAAGAAACACTTGATTTCACAACCATTTTATTTTGGGTACAAATGAATTTGCTGAAGCATGGCTTTCTCAGCTGCATATCGATTCATCCCCTCCCATTTTTCCAACACTTTTATTGTTACCTGAAAAACATGCAGGATTACTTCAACGTCATCGTCTTCCTCCGCTTGTCCGGGTCCAGGTCGTGGGGGCAGCATCCTAGGGAGCTCCAGACCGTCCTCTCCCCGGCCTTCTCCACCAGCTCCTCCGGCAGGACCCCAAGGCGTTCCCAGACCAGATTGGAGATGTAACCTCTCCAACGTGTCCTGGGTCGACCCGGGGGCCTCCTGCCGGCAGGACATGCCTGAAACACCTCTCCGGGGAGGCGTCCAGGAGGCATCCTGACCAGATGCCCAAACCACCTCAACTAGCTCCTTTCGATCCGGAGGAGCAGCGGTTCTACTCCGAGTCCCTCCCGAATGTCCGAGCTCCTCACCCTATCTCTAAGGCTGAGCCCGGCCACCCTACGGAGGAAACTCATTATGGCCGCTTGTATCCGCGATCTCGTTCTTTCGGTCATTACCCAAAGCTCATGACCATAGGTGAGGATTGGGACGTAGATCGACCGGTAAATCGAGAGCCTGGCTTTCTGGCTCAGCTCCCTCTTCCCCACGACAGATCGGCTCAGCGTCCGCATCGCTGCAGACGCCGAACCAATCCACCTGTCGATCTCCCGATCCCTCCTACCATCACTCGTGAACAAGACCCCGAGATACTTAAACTCCTCCACTTGAGGTAGGACCTCTCCCCCGACCCGGAGTTGGCAAGCCACCCTTTTCCGGTCGAGAACCATGGATTTGGAGGTGCTGACCCTCATCCCAGCCGCTTCACACTCGGCCGCGAACCTACCCAGCAAGAGCTGAAGGTCAGAGCTGGGTGAAGCTAGGAGGACCACATCATCCGCAAAAAGCAGAGGTGAGATTCTCCTGCCACCAAACTCTGTTAAGGATTACTTCATACACTGTCAAATGTTTTCGAAAAGTAACTTTTTTACCAATCACTGCTGAAGACAGCGTTGTACCTCTGGAACAAGGACATCAAACACCAAGTCCAGAAACTGGAACTCTCTCTTCTTTATTAGTTCATCTATTCCTGAGCATGAACCAATCCGCTCTGTCAGCTCATCAACCTATAAAACACGTTAACATAAAAATGAACAAAACGTTCCTCTCAGCATTAGACAACGGACCCAGGTGGCCCACTGACCACGCATCCACATAAATAAATGTGATGCAGCTTATTGTAAGTCAGTATACATTTACCTGTGCATCAGCAAAGTGGAACATCAGTGGCTTTAGTCTTTGCTTTAATTTAAGCGAGACACCTGGATTGTGCCACAGATACATGAGGCCAGACTTCACTCTACCGCTGCAGAGATCCTATACACAGTCTGAGTAGAGACAAGAGTTAAAAATAAGCAACATTACCACAGAAAACAAGGGATTGCATTATCCTATGTCCAATTTTAGAGTCTTAATTTATTATAATTAAACATTACCTTGATTTCACCATCTGAAATCACTGCCTGGGTTCCATTTTTCAAAGCCTCGATTGTCCTGTAATTTAGATAAAAATACATCTTATTAGCAAATGAAGAATACAAGCACATGTAAGGAGTTTTGTCAGTGTCACTTGAAGAAGTCCGATATTCATTTTAGATCTATATTTAAGGCCTGTAACTCCTGAATGATTTGCAGCTACATGTGCTTAAATCCGGTAATATTAATATAAACCAAACCCGATCAAAGCAGTCAGTCGACAAAAATATCTATTTTTTATAAGGTTAGGATTATTCTGAAACAGAATCAGAAGGAGGGCGGCATTAATTAGAGAAGCGGCTACTATTTCAAAGTTATTGTACCTGTTGCAGGACACCTGATTTGTGCAACCACAGTAGAATGACCCAGCACACCACACACAATAACTGAAAAATATTTAGAGATATTGAAAGCTAAGCTTGTCCAGAAAATACATTTTATTTCTGGGTGCACAGGACCAGTTCCAGTGTGGGCCAGATGCTGAAAAATAAATTCATAAATCTGTCTTTTTTGAAGTTTCACAAATCAGAGGAAGGTTTCACAAATCACAAACTATGTTTTATGCATTCCTACGAGCCCAGAATAATCTAAAACAGGTTTGAAGAGTGTATGTATTGTAGGTTTTGAGCTAGAGCAGAATAAAAATGGTCAGAGTAGAGAAAAATTGGGTGTATTAGCCCTTTAGCCATTTCCCGAATCGGAAGCTAACTTTAGCCTCGTATGAAAACTAGTGATTGAAACCACTTACAAATCTCTGAAAATCTACGCTTTTTAATTAAAAAAGGGTATTAATAACGTTTCAGTCAAGTCAGTATTAGAAACCGTGGTCTTTATATCATATCTAAATTATATATAAAGTTAATATTATTACTTTAACTGTTTTAACAAACAGGGAGACCAGAAAAATCAAATAGCTAAGTTAAAGCTAAGCTACAATTGCTGATAGCTTTATTTAAGTAGCTTTTGTGTTCGCTAGCTTGTGATCTCCCTGCATTCGTTTTAAGACTGCATGTTAATATTGATACAATTAGCTATGAAACACGGTGCCTTTGCAATAATTCTCTGGTAAAGCTTTAAATGCTATAGTGCCTACATTTAAGAACTAAGAACGGTTGCAACAATTAGTTAATTTCATCCTTATCCTTACCTTTCCTCAATTGAAACCCGCCGAGTATGGTTGAAACAAAAACAACGTAGCGGTCGCCAAAAAAAGACCAACTTCCTGCCGAGGTCTTTCGCTCGTCGATTTTCCGGTAAAAGTAATGACACGCCATCTTGCTCTCGACACACCAGCTGATGTCTGCAGCCAGGTCCTACTCACCTAAACCACGACAAACTAACATGTCGCTCCTTTTTCAACACTCCTGATATAAATCACTGAGTGATTAACAAGCTTCTGCAGAAGCCCTTTGAAGTAAAAATATCCCTTTGCATCTGGTGCGTTGGTGCAGGGAAATGTCTAAAACATGCAGGACAGTGTCATGCAGCTAATGAACAGACCTGTGTTCTTTAGATTGATGCAGGTTTACCGATGAAATGTGTTGTGTAAACACACTTAACTTACTGCAGCTTCCAGTTAAAAGCACGTGTAAAATCCCCAGAGTGGTGGTGAGGCAACTTCCTGTGGTTGCCGAGCAGGTGAGTTCTTAGTGAGGCGCGCCCTCGTGAGGAGGGTTTGTGTAACTGACTCCTGTTGAAACGCAGGAAACTACTTAGTATTATTAAATGGATTGTTTATAATGTTGATAGACACGTGATGACAGAATGGTTGCTGTACTTTATTTTCCTGTTTCATGACCAATCACATGAAAGCAGCTCAATCGTCTAGTTGTGGTAAAGAGGATCAGAGTAATGAGCAAAGGAGATTTAAGTGACATTGTGGCATGGTTGTTTGCCTGGCTGGGATTTTCACCCACAACCACCTTTAGAGGGACCTAGATCATGCCATCTACCTCTGCACCACTACTGCCCCATCAAACATGAATGAATAAATAAGAAAATGAGTCTGTGAACAAATAAGAGTGAATTTCTGGTCCCATCTGATATGCACCATGGATTTTACACATGATGTGCGTCATCATTACAGATTTTGATGCCAAAGAAGTGCTTATTTTCAACTGGAGGCACAAGTTATTTTAGGTTTTGTGTGACAACACGCAGAGGACCCCCAACAACGAGTTTCTAGAACATGACGATGAGTTCACTGGACTCCCAACGGCCTCCGCAGTCACCAGAACTTTACCCAGTTCAGAACCTCTGGCATGTGGTGGAAAGGGAGCGTCTCATCACAGAAGGGACTGTAGGACGTTCTGAAGACCAAAGGGGGTCTAAACTGGCATTTATCCTGCAGGAACTCTGACACCCAATTAATGTAGTGTAACTAGGGACGTCCGATACCACGGGCTAATACTGGTATTAAATAATATATCAAGTTATTGGTGCCAGTTTTTAATTCTTTCAGTGGCTCAACTTTCACATGCTTCTCCAAAACCGAATATCTTGATACAGTGATCCCTCGCTACTTCGCGGTTCGTTTATCGCGGATTCACGACTTCGCGGAATTTTTCTTTGGATCCTTATTCAAGGGAATTTCGCCGATTTGCGGTATTTTTCTATGCGAAATATCAAGAAATTCCTGTTTTTTTTTCATCATAAAATGCACTTTAAAAAAAAATATTCTAACATTTTAATATTAGTGCCTGATTTAGATTAAGTGTTCTGTACATTAAAGGGTGGTTTGTTAACAGTACTATGTAAAGGGAGGGTTTTAAAAGTCAGAATACGTACCTGTTAAATACTGTAAATATGGTGTCCCTACTTAGCGGATTTTCACCTATCGCGGCCAGGTCTGGAACGCATCTACCGCGCTAAACGAGGGATCACTGTATTTGGTTTCTTTTACACAAATTAAAAAATTAATTACACAAATTCAAAATTAAACCGAACTTATGCATGATATGTAAATGACCTAAGGCCCACATACATCAATGTGTTTATATCAACATCAGAAATTATGATACGGGAATAAAAGCCAGTATCCAACATCCCTACGTACAACATCCATCCACATGTTAGAAATTCAAACTCGAGCACATATAGTAAAACTTTTATTCATTTTTTCCAAGTCAAAAACAAACAGAACAGATACAGAGAATGAGATAATGACTGGATTTCTATACAGTGGTAACTTTTAAGTTAGACCTTCCTTAAGTAAGACTGGTGAAGCCTTTCCTCAGCTTGAAACCCTGCATCGCCTTCGGATTCACACACAACACACAATCATACATTCATTCAACCCCAGGAGTCCTTTTTGCGCTGAATTTACCAAACAGTTGCAACGAGCACAGCTGGATGCAAAGACAAGAGAACAAAATCCAACCAGGCCTGTGGCCCAAGTCCGCCGCGTTAGGTGCAATGACCAACACAAACTGATGTCGAGGGCTGTTTTCTTTCCCAGTCTGAACCAAATAAGCAGTTTCCTTACAATAAATCAAATAGTTTTAAGATTTTTCAGAACCTAAAAGATTAGTGGGACTCCTCGTGTGAGCCGGGAGTGGCCCAGCCTCCCTGTGGTCACCACAGGTTTGCACGGATAGAAAAATACGAGAAAACACGGATCCTTAGAGCTGGTGGATGAAGAGATAGGAAACGCTGCAACCATAATTGATAACGCAAGCAAGTATATTGGAACTTTTATGAGGAAGGAAGTTCACACTAATGTAGTGGGTAAGGTTGTTTTTCTTAAAGAGAAATGTCAGAATCGTCTCTGGACAATCTAAAAAAACCAAAAGTTAAAACTAACGGCTTCAGTTCAGTGTAAAGACGTCTTTTGCGTTCATCAACTGAAGCGAGTGAAGCATGGCAAAGAAATAAAAGCCGTCCGTTTGGTCCGCTGTCTCTTCATCCACGGTATTTGAAAAGTAAACCTCCAAACGGAGCTACGAAATCATCAAAAAAATCAGGTTTTCTCCTTTATATTCATATTTAATTGTAGTTCACTTTCTTAAATAAACCGAATAGTCACAATAAATGTGCGTACACTTGAAACTACCTGAAATGGAACAAAGATTAGCTAAATGTAGGAGGGATGTTCAACAGCACGTGCTACTCGTGAAAAACAAAAGTCAAAGTAGCAAAAACTAGTTCTCCCCATCCCATTACCTCCGAGTCAAAACCAACAACAGAGCAATAATTCTCTTGTTAGAAATCTGAAGTTCCCCGTTTCCGGGGCCGATTATCATTTACAAGTCTCTAAAACGATAAGAGGATGCTGGTGGGTGTTTTCATGACATCTTTCAGGTTTATGGGGAGTAGAGGTGGAAGAGGATGGACAACAGCTGAATACTTCTCTTCCAACCCTGCTTCTCCCTTCTTAAACGTGTGCAGATGATACAAAGCTTTTCTTACGACGCTATGAATCAAAATCACATTTATGCACCAAAAAAAAAAAAAGAAAATTTCCAAAACTGGCAGCGACTATTTTTCCAAAAGCAGACAAAACTCTAACAAACATCTCTGAAATATTCAGTAAACAAAGCCTGAACCGTAGCAGATTTGTATTTTTTTTGATGGTTTATGTTTTTGTGATGAATACGATCTTCTCTGCACGCCGTCCGGCGACGACGACACAGAGAGGGGGCGAGCGGCTGGATGCAGGACGCTAGAGTTAAAAAGGGTCTTTTTCCAGACTCTTAAATACATTTTTTTTTAATCTTCCTCTCTTCATTTTCTCTGATTCTCAGTTTCGCTTCAACTCCCCATCTTAAAAAGAAAAAACACTATTTCAGAAGGCAACCCCCCACCCCCGTCAGGCAGTTCGAGTTCGTTTTTCTTACAGAACAGTTCTGAACATTTCTGGGGAAATAAACGCAGGAAGTGGGGGGAGGCGACTCCTGGAGATTCACCCGCTCGTAGAAAAAAAGATCACAGTTAAAAGGCACCGCCACCTCCAGCTGGTTAAAGACGCCGTCTTTCAGTGGGGCGGCGCTCTCCTCAGCTGCCTCTCCTCCTCCTTGGGGGCTCATCAGTTGTTCTCCTCGTCGCTCTCGTCGCTGTCGTCGGGGCTGATGGCCGGGCTGTACGTGGGGGAGGTGGGGCTGTAGCCTGGGGAGGTGGGGCTGTAGGTGGAGCCTTTGGGGCTCGTCGGAGAGTACGTGGGAGATGTGGGGGAGTACTTAGGCGAAGTTGGGGAGTAAGTTGGGGAGGTGGGGGAGTACTTGGGACTGGTGGGGGTGTAGGTAGGAGAGGTGGGAGAGTAAGTGGGGGAGGTGGGGCTGTATTTGGGAGTTGTTGGTGAGTAGGTGGGAGAAGTGGGGGAGTATTTCGGTGACGTCGGGGAGTATTTTGGTGAGGTGGGGGAATATTTGGGGGAGGTGGGGGTGTACTCGGGAGAGCTGGGGCTGTAGGAGGGAGACGTTGGGGTGTACTTGGGTGAGGTTGGGGAGTAAGAGGGGGAGCTGGGGCTGTATGACGGCGAGCTCGGTGTGTAGGTTGGAGACTGGGGGGTGTAGCGTGGACTGGAAGGGGAGTAGGACGGAGAAGTGGGGGAGTACGAGGGAGAGGTGGGGGAGTAGTTTGGGCTGGTCGGGGTGTAGTTCGGAGAGGTGGGGGAATAAGAGGGCGACGTAGGGGAGTATGAGGGTGAGGTAGGGGAGTAACTGGGGGACGTCGGGGTGTAGTTTGGCGACGTGGGGCTGTAGCTTGGGCTGGTCGGCGAGTAGGAGGGGGACGTGGGGGAGTAGGAGGGGGAGGTGGGCGAATAGGAGGGAGACGTGGGAGAGTAAGAAGGAGAGGTAGGCGAGTATGAGGGGGAGGTGGGGGAGTAGCTTGGCGACGTTGGGCTGTAGCTTGGCGACGTTGGGCTGTAACTCGGAGAGGTGGGGGAGTAGGAGGGGGAGGTGGGGGAGTAACTAGGCGAGGTAGGGGAGTAAGACGGAGATGTTGGGGAGTAAGAAGGAGACGTGGGTGAGTACGAAGGAGAGGTTGGGGAGTAACTGGGTGAGGTGGGGGAGTAGGAAGGAGACGTGGGACTGTAATTGGGGCTGGTGGGAGAGTAAGAGGGGGAGGTGGGGGAGTAAGAAGGTGATGTCGGGGAGTAGCCCGGGCTTTGGGGGGTGTAGCCCCCCGGAGACCGAGGCTCGTAGGCGGGGGAGGTAGGTGAGTAGTTTGGTGACATGGGTCCACCTGAAGGAGAAAAACCAGAACCTTAACACAGCAAACCAGCTTCTCCAGTGGAACCAGTTCCAGACTCTGACTGGGAAGGACTGAAGTTCTGTTCTGGTCTAACCTGGTGAAGGGATGTAGGGACTGGCAGGTCCTGGAGATCCGGGAGACCCGGGCGTAGGAGACCAGGCTGGGGAGTACCCTGGAGAGAAGCCGCTAGCATCTGATGCTGCGCTGGGGGAGAAGCCTGCTGCTCCGGGGGTCATGCCGCTTCCTAGGGGACAAAAAGACGGAACGTCAGAGACGGAACGTTAGGAGAACACCGTAAAGTGGGTGTTGGAGCTCACCAACACTGGGGGACCAGGCGCCGTAGGCCGGGGTAGCCCCTGTGTTCCACGGAGTCATGGCAGGAGACATGCTGCTCATCGGACTTGGCACAGAACCGAAGAACATTCCAGTGGCTGAGGACAGAAAACACGGTTTATGAATCTGACGGAGCGCACCAACACGTCTTCACCACATCCGTGTCTGCTTACGCCCAGCCACGCTGATGCCAGGGATGTTGGTCGGGATCTCCATGCCGTATTTGCATTTCTCAGCATCCAGCAGCAGGTCGAAGCAGCCCGTTCCCGCAGGGGCGAGCTGACCTAGCATGATGTTCTCAGACACGCCCTTCATCGGGTCACACTCCCCATGGGAGGAAGCCTCCATCAGCACGTCCACCTGGAAAACAACAAACACGGTTCTAGGCGTGCTGGAAAGAACTACGGCTGGACTCTTCAGATGGACGTTCTGTACCGTCTCCTCAAAAGAACACTTCATGAGCGGCCCCGTGTCCTGCCGGTTGATGCCGTGACGCGTGATGGCCATCAGGTGACCGCGGCAGGTCATTGTGTCGCAGAGCAGAGCCAAATGACGGTAGTTGACGTAGGAACCGTCAAAGGAGATGACATGATACAACTCCCTCTCCAGAGCCTTGCGCACAGCTTCAATCCCCAAAACCTGCTCAAAGGACTCGAGATAAGCACCCAACAGAACGGCTGCTGTGAACTTCCAGGTCTGGATGATTCTGTACCGTGAAGATCTCCACAATGTCGTTGGAGGTGGTTCTGACGGGATCCACGTCCTTCTCGCTGAGAACCCTCATGAGGCTCACACCGTCTGTCTCAAGGATCCACTCCTGCAGGGCCTTGAACTCTCCGTCTTCTGTGATGATGATCTTCTTCTTGTTGTCCGTCTGAGGCAGGTGCATGTACACCTGGAGGAGAAGAGCTTAAGCTTCAGCCTGCAGCCACGGACTGGCTTCCTACTTCTGACCTGAAGGTTCCTGCCACCCGTACCTTGCTGATCTGCTCGATGCCCTGCAGGGTCATGTCCGTCAGCATGTTGGACTCTATGCACCTCAGGAACACGTCGTCGTCCATCTTGTCCACCACCTCCTCATCCTGGACAAGCAGAACCGACTTCCATCAAACAAAAACCCCCGGCCTTTGTGCATTTGCGTGAAAATGACCCCTACTCACCTCTTGGAACTTGTTCTCGTCACTGTTCATGATTCTAATTCGCAGCACCAGCTTTTCGGCGTTGTCGTCGTTGAAGATGCAGTTCAGATCATCGCCAAAACCTAAAACGCCAAAGAAACCAGCGTCTTCAGAAGACACGGACCTCATTTCAGTCTAAAACTGTGAATTATTATTATTATTAGACTCACCGGCGTTGATCTTCTCTGCGATCTGCTCCATGGTCAGCTTGCGGTCGGTCATGTGTTTGCGGTCCAGCTCGATGCGCAGCAGCCACGGTGAGATGCGAGTCACATCAAAGTCGGGCATCTCGTAGTAGACGTTCACCCACTCCTGGTCCTCGGCCACCACGGTGTTCTGTGGGTTGGGGTCGTAATAGATGGCCGTGTTTGCGGTCACCTGAAAGAGAAGGCTCGTTTGAGTCCCGAGCGGCGGGTTCCTCTTTGATGTGTTGGATGAAATGTAACGAAGGCGGTACTTTTCGCAGCGTGGTGTGCTCCAGCCGACAGAGGATGTCCTTGGCCCTCTCAGCGTCGCGTGCCGCCTGACCCAGCAGGAAAACGGTCAGCGACGGCGTCTTAGGCCTCTTGGAGATGTTGATCAACTCCTTGAGACGAGGCACGCCGAGCGTGACGTTCTTAGCCGACACACCGGCGTAGTGGAAAGTGTTCAGTGTCATCTGAGTGGCAGGCTCTCCCAGGGACTGAGCAGCCAGAGCGCCCACCATTTCACCGGGATGAACCTGAAACACGAAGGAACGCGTCAACTCTCTCATCTTTCAGAACGCAGCTCTACAACACATCGGCCCAACGTACGATGGACTGGTTGAACTTGGTCTCGATCTCTCCCAGCAGCCAATCGAACGCCTCCATGGAGAGCCGGAACTCCTCCGTCATGCGTCTGGAGCAGAGCGTGGAGCGCAGGTGGATGTTAAAGAGCAGCGTGGCGTTCTCCTGGGCCTGTCTACTCAGAGGGTCATCGCCATTCACAATGATCAGCTTCTTACTCAGCTCGTCAACACCTGGGAATGAAGACGCACTTTAGGGAAAGCAAACGACCTCAAATAGCGAAGGGGGGTGGGGCTAGGGAGAAACGGTCACTTTCATCCATCACTAAAAGTAAACATCCACAGCTCCTGAACGGGGAAGGAAAACAAGACCTTACCCTCAACCACTCTGAGAGGATTCAGGTCTGTTGGGGTTCGAGGGTTGATTCGAAAGATCTTTTGAGCGTTCCAGATCATCCTGGCCAAGTTACACGGCAGCACCACCTGGAGGTGAGAAGGAACATTGCTGAGGGTGAACGCTACTCGTGATGATTACGGTTTGGGTGTGCTATCAGATCTGTGGATGTTAATCTGACCCTTTAACCCTTAAGCTAGTAGTTTACATTGGCTGCTTCAGCACATCTGTCCTAGCCTAGTGAACTAGACCAAATTCTTGCTTTGCAAAGAATGGTCTAGGCATGCTCCATTGGAACCTCAGCAGCTCCTACCAGGACTCTGGCTAGCCAATCACAGCTCTCTGGAGGGGTTTCAAACACATAAAGAGCTGTGATTGGTCCATAATGGTGGGCCAATCATAGTGCTCTATCTGCTTAGTGAACAAATCACAGAGCTTTATCTGCTTTGTGGGCCAATCAGGGCACTCTATATGCCTGGTGGGTGGGATGATGCAACAGAGTGAAACAAGAGTATGTCACATTCATTGTCCAGTGGAATGTGGAGATCATTTGAAAGACAACAGTAGAACCCGCCCCACAACCCAGAGCCGTCAATGGAGCATGGCCAGACTAAATAATACATTTATTTAGTCTGGCTTGCCAGGCTACATCTGTCCTTGAGCTAGTCATTCATTTAAAAACACTTCTGATGAAAAGGATCCTGCTTGCTTTTAGCACCCCCTAGTGTCCGTTTATAGAAACTAAACTGTCTCCTCGCTGTGCGTTTGGCTTTTTAACACCTTATCTAACAGCTGAAATGTCTCCCAGCGCTCCTAAGAGTCTACAGGAGTGATTTGTCACTAAATTAAACAAATCAGCTGTGTTCGTGACCTAAAACATGCTGAAGCCAGGCAGCAGCAGCTAGTCCCAACAGACTGTGACGTTGCAAGTAGAACATTCTGACCACAGGGGGTGACAGGGGCTGGGTGGCCTTTCATTAACCCTGTAAAGGGTCATTTTAGCACACACTGGCTCAAGAAAATGATTAAAAATATGAAAAGAATCCCTTTAAACCGCACCATCTGAATTTTCTAGCTCGTTCTGACTAAAAGATAAAATTCATGCAAATTCAAGCACACGAGACAAAGCTGCAGCAACGAAGGATTAAGTCTAATCTGACGCCTGCATGTTGTTTTGGATTACCGTGTATGTGTGCCTCTACGGCTGTGAACACACACCTTACTGTCGCCGGTGGGGAAAATAGCTCTCAGGATCTCCCGGTCCTCCTTCATCTTCTCAAACTCCCTCTCCAGGACACTCTGCACGTGTGCGTTGGTCTGCACGTCCTTCACCACGTCCTCCTGCAGAATCCGCCTCAGAGCGCGCTCGTTGGTGCAATCAAACTTGAACCTAAACAACAGAAACGATGCGGTCAAAAAAACGACCGTCCACTGTGAATGCGGCGAAGGACGCGGGAGCGACTTGCTTCTTCTCGAAGGCCTTGTGCGAGGGCTTCAACGTGGCTAGATTCTGGAACTCTACATTCTCTCCTGCCAGACCGTCCTCGCCGTAGCGGAGCTGGACCACCTGGTTGATGGAGTTTCGCACCGTTGCGTCGTACTTAACCATCACAGACTCCATAGATTTAATGAGACGACGCTGGATGTATCCTAGAGGATGGAAAAAGGACCGCTGACTAACGGGAATCTCAACGAGAGCCTTGGGTCTCGTAGGTTAGAGTCGGAACCGACCTGTCTCGGCCGTTTTTACAGCCGTATCGATCAGACCCTCTCTGCCTCCCATGGCGTGGAAGAAGAACTCTGTGGGCGTGAGTCCAGCCAGGTAGGAGTTCTCCACAAACCCTCTGCTCTCTGGACCGTAGTCATCCTTGATGAAGTGAGGCAGAGTCCGGTGCTTGAAGCCGAACGGGATTCGCTTACCTTCCACGTTCTGCTGGCCCACCACAGCAATAACCTGCAGGAGGAGGATCGACACGTCAGACGAGGTCGTCTTTCCTCAAACCCAAACCGCGAGACCGGGACCGACCTGTGAGATGTTAATCTTGGACCCTTTGGAGCCGGCCACCACCATGGACTTGAAGTTGTTGTACTCGGACAGCGACTTCTGCGCTGAGGATCCCGTTTTGTCTCGAGCGTCGTTGAGGATACGATTGACCTGGTTCTCAAAGGTCTGCCTCAGCGTGTTACCAGGAGTGGGCTCCAGCTCGTTGTTGTGAGCTTTCTCGATGACCTGGCAGCACAAAGCAACAGCACTGTGACTTAAAAGCTTCCTTCTGCGTGGATCAAAGAGCATCAGAACATCTTCCTACTTCTATCACATCCTGTTTGGCTTTCTTGATGGTGTTCTGAATGTCCAGGTAGGTCTTAGCATCGGCAATGGAATCACCGATACCAATGGAATGACCTGTTTCACGAGAGATGGTCAAACAAACACCGCTTCACATTTTACAACCTCTTTATTGTAGATCCCTACCCTCGATGAGCAGCCAATTGTTGACCACCGTCTGGATGTTGGAGTAGAAGAGTCTGGTGATGTCATGGCCCATCTCCAGGTAGGAGATGTGGACGAGGGACCCAGCAGAGGTTCCCAGGGACTTCTTACACAGGATGCCCATGATCAGCTCCCCGTTCTCCACTATCACCTGTGAGGAGGTCCCTCCTTCGGTTAACAGCTCCACAGTCAGGTCTTTAGCTAAAGGGTTTGCTTTGTACCTTGGTGTCGCCGGGGGAGATGTGTTTGTAAGGCCCGCTGTCCTCGTCGTCGGGGTGCGTGCTGTGTGTGCGGATCACATTGATGTGTCCTGGAATGATGAGGCTGAAGACCTGCTTGCCTGTCCACAGAGGGCGGGGCTTGAGGATGGCGGGCTGGGGCATCTTCCCGTCCCAGGTGGAGAGGAACATGAGGAGGTTCATAACTTCACCCTGTTTGAGGAGAGGTCATGTTGACGGCGGTGGAGGATTTAAAAGAGCATCACACACACACACACACGCTGGTGATCTTGGTCCTTACTCTCTCTAGGAAGACGTCTCGTTTGGTGAATTTGCGGACAGCGGTGAGAGTGTCCTGTACGATACCCATGACGGGCCTGTTGGACTGGGGTGTGACAATCATACGTGGCACCATGGCCAGCTCCTGGATCTCTGCCCTCGTCTCCAGGGACTGAGGCAGGTGGAGGTTCATCTCATCGCCGTCAAAGTCGGCGTTGTACGGGGTGGTGACACTGGACAGAGGCAGACATGGGAAAAAAAGGACGCCGCACTTTATGATTATGAACCCAAAAGCTTTAAGAAGACGTCCTGAACGGCTACGGCTCATTGGTACCTGAGGTTGAGCCGAAACGTGGACCACGGCAGGATCCGAACCCTGTGACCCATCATGGACATTTTATGTAGTGTAGGCTGTCGGTTGAAGATGACAATGTCCCCGTCGCACATGTGTCTTTCAACCTAGAACAGAGATTACCCACATCAGACGCGACCTATAGTCACACTTATGCTGCTTGTGAACTAATGTTTTTTTTTAACTTGCCTTGTAGCCGATCTGCAGATGAAGGTCACTTGGTTTGGGGTGAAATCGCAGGTCGATTCTGTCTCCGTTGTCGCGAATGATGTATTTGGCTCCAGGGTACTGGCTGTTCCCTCTTCGCACCAGCTCTTGCAATCTAACACATGTTATAATGTATTAGAACAAATAAAATAAACAAAATAACGTTCCGCAGAGCAGCGGTTCTGACGCACCTGTCGATATTAAAGGGGGTGACGATCTCAGGGAAGGTCATGTTGGCCGCGATGGAGCGAGGCACACCTACTTGGTCGATTTGCAGGTTGGGGTCTGGGGTGATGACGGTTCTGGCTGAGAAGTCCACACGTTTACCCATCAGGTTACCTCGTACCCTTCCTTCCTTTCCTTTTAGACGCTGCTTTAAGGATTTGAGAGGGCGACCGGACTTTTGCATGGCCTGAGGAGGAAAAAAAAAAAAAAAAAAAAAAAAACGGTTGACACGGAGCACCAAGCTAGTGAGTCTGGACACACACACTCTCAATGAGCACAAACACACCCTTGGCAGGCCCGGCAATTCGTTGTCGACCATTGTGGCCACGTGAAACTGAAGTAGCTTCACATCCTCGGCGATCACGTGAGCGGCTGCACCGCTCTGCTCGTTGCGTTTCAGCTGATTGTTGATCTTGACGATGTCGGCTAACTTATGGGTCAAGTCGTCCTATAAAACAGAGGCTGGTTCATTAGCTACAGAGGTTCCACCAAGCCTAAGGTAGGATATGAGAACGTGGTCGCAGAGGGATTGTGAGGACACACCTGGTTGCGAGCAGATCCCTGCATGACCACAGCAGGCCTCACAGCCAGCGGAGGCACAGGCAACACAGTGACAATCATCCACTCTGGTCGGGCAAACTTGGGGTCCATGCCCAAGATGATGTCTTCTTCATCTGAGATACGCTTGAAGATTTCGTGCACGCGCTCAGGACTTAGCAGGATCTTCTTCTCCTGCGAGTCCTCGTTAACATGCTTCCACTCGGCGTACAGCTCCAGGCCGGAGCGTCTGATGCGAGGCTGGTAGCGCCCACAGCCACCATGGCCCTACGAGGAGATAAAAGTACGTGGAGCTAAAATTTAAATACCAGAAGCGAAAAGACATAAAATCAAGGGAGAAAAAAACTAGACACATACCTTTTCCTTGGTGATGTCCTCCTCAGTCTCCTGCTGCTCCATTCCAAATTTGTTGTCCATCTCCTCACCTCCTTCACATATGTTTTTGCCTTTGCACAGCTCGTAAACATGAGTCAGTCGCTTCCTTGGCTGCCCTTTAGACTTCACCAGGATTTCTTTGATCTTGGGATTGTTCTAGAAAGAAAAGAAAATTAAATTAAATCGAAACAAGAATATTTAAACAGTAAAAACGTGTTTTTCTGCATCAATAACTGGGACTCACTGCATCCACCAACAACTTGGAGCAAAAGAAGCAGACGCATCGAAGGATCTTCATTATCTTCGATATAAACCCGACATGGAAGACTGGTTTTGCCAGCTCTATGTGCCCAAAGTGACCCGGGCATTCTGTCATGTTGCCTGAAAGAACAAACACAATGTAAATAATTCAAACTAATTTCTATCAATAAATGCTTGCCAAAAAAAAAAGTCTTCTGTACATTACCTGCACATGTTTGACATCTACCAGTGCGTTCTATCACCCCTTGCCTTGGATCCATAAGGCCACCAAGTTTAGGACGTCCTCCCTCTGTGGTTTCAGGGTACTTTATTCCCCCTTCAGTGACCGACATGCGTTTCTGAAAAACACATAACGAGCTCTAAATCACAGCGTTTATCAATAAAATACACATTTAAGGTAAATATTTGTGATAATCTTGAAAATATCAACTTCCTTCAAACATCAGCATTTTAATGTAAAAAATATGGCTTAAATTTGTAAAGAGATTTATATGCAGCAAACGAGTTTAATATATAGGATGAGCTTATATAAACTAAAAATATAAGCATAAATTCTATAAATAAAGAGAATCAGTGTTTAGAAGATAAAGTTTCCGGCTTTATTTATTCAGAGTGCGGAAAAACGGATCACATGTACAGTGAAATCAGCAGTGAAAACATAAAATATCCATGATTAAAATTAGAACTCTCGCTTACAAGTGGAACTATGTGTTACTCTGAATTGTCAAGAAGGGAGTTCAATTCATTTGATTGCAAGGATAGTTTTAAATCGTGTTGTGCTTCGAGTTCTTCAAACTTCCTGTAACATGCTAGTTAGCTAGGCTAGGCTAACAGCAACCGTTGCAAGTTGTCAACAGACCCGTGTATTTGCTATGAATGCCAAATTACTCCACCAGAAGACTAAGTGTATAAGTAACGTGCCATCCGTTAGACTGTAAACTGTTAAAACCCCATCCCAAAACAGAAAACCTACAAGTTCATCTGGGCTGATGATGCCGAACTGAACTCTCTTGATCGTGCGCAATGGGCATGCGCTGTCGCCGGAGGGCGGTCCGTGCATCTTGTCTATTCAAAGAGACGCGTCCTTCTTCGGCACGCCGCTTTGTGAGCAGGAACAGCCTTTAAACTGCCACCACGACTCTGGTCAGGCCGCCAACGGTGACCGGAATATCTCCAAAGGCGATATTCCAGGGACCTCTGTTGCTGGTTGCCTTCGGAGCGGAGTTATTATATTTTGTTCCTACATAGACTCAATGCTAACTGCTCCCTCCCCTTTTTCGATCTACTCACTGGAGCGCTCTAAGCGCTACTGAGCTTTTAGAAGCCCAACGTTTGCTTATATAGACTGGGAGCTCACTACAGGGTTACCCACTCCAAAAGACAGGGCCTGCCTCTTCGGAAGGTGGGACATGTAACTTCGTAGTAAAACGCTCATTGGCCATTCAAGACAACTGTGTGAATAATTTACTTGAGCGCACGTACAGCCAATCAGAGGGCACGTTTATTTCTTCTACCAATTAAAATTGAAGGCGGGTGTTGACTTATTCGTATCCTTTACTGATTGGTTTCATTTTAAGAGAATAGGCGGTTCTTAGCATAATTTGCATACAAACTGTACATATTCAATAAAATGCTGCTGATTGGTCGTCTTTTTTGTTAATATTTATTAGTGCAAAACAGATATCCAATGGCTTTAACGGATCAACCTCATTGAAATAATTTACCGAAAACCCACCCAGTTTCCGATTTTTGCCGAGGAGGACCGATGTAACTTTCTTCCCTCAGAGCAAAAATAAAAAAAATCCCTGCGCTCTTGTTCGTCTCGCTCTGGATCAGCCTGGGCTCTAAGTAAAGAGCCTCAGAGCTAAGGCCTGTTAATGTCTTTGTTGAAACTTAGAGGAAACGGTGAAACATGTATTAATTTCGTCGCAAAACATTGTAAAATGGATTATTTTCGAAGCCATTTGAAGAATTTACTGACTTCTGGAATTTTCGTGGAGCGCTGTTTTTCATCTCTGGGACTTAATCGCGAGCACCGGACTCAAGTGCGAAGGATGACCGACTGCCGGACTGGATTTTCGGCATACCCCCACGGGAAATTCCGGGGGAAGCCATGATTGTTCATTTAACGCTTGTTTCTTCTCAGGACTGGCTCATTTTGACATATACATGACGTGTATTGGATTTTTGTCATATTGCAGTGTTCGCTTGTTGTCGGGATTTAGATAATTTTGTTAAAATTTCAGTTTTTGTCGTAGGCCTCGCTTCGAAAGCGACTGAAACGCACCGGTGCTGGCGGCTGAGTAACATTGTTTTCGTCGCGCCCTGATTTTATTTGCTCAGATTTTTTTTTCACTCGTTTATAATGTCCTTGCTAATAATTCACAGATTCTCAACGTTTTGTATTCTAGCATTAGCTATTACTTTCTAAATGTTTACTCCATATATTACGGGATTTAAAGCTACATGTTGACATTACTGTAACCGCTCAGTAGCATTTATTACTGTTATATAACCTATTTAAACCTTTATTTGGCGCTAGTTTGCATCAGAGCTACAGCATTCGTGTCGGATGAGCCTCGATGGTCAGCAATTGTGTTAAACCGTACGCGCCGCCTTGTACCTCTGCTTTAATGGGTGAGTTCATTTGAACTTCGTAGGAGATGTGTGTGGATTAAAATAGGCAAACATTTGTGCTTTAAATGAAGTTTTTTAGTCGTTTCTGAGGCTAAAAACGAGTAGCTCTTCTCTGTTAGCGTCCAATATGGCGGCGTTGGGCGATATGCTTCTTGTTGTGAACGAGGAAAGATGGAGTCTGGAATATTCTCGCTGGCCGACTTGAGCTGCTAGACTTACTGTTATTCTTTTATCATGCTCGGTGACTAATTAAAACGGCGTAATGGTCTAGATTGTAACTTTTAAACGAATACTTAGTTGCTGAATGACGTCTATATAGGGCTACGTAAAACGATTATAGCTCTTCCCGGCGTTTTAAAGAGTTGAAGCCATTTTGTTAGCTTGCTGCGTTCATATTTTCTGTTTTTGGAGAGATAATGGCGCTGTTATGTCCTAGTCTCAAATAAATGAAAGTTTTCCGTTTATTATCATTAAAACGGGCCAAAACTTCTAACTAACTCGCTGTTAAAGTTTTATTATTACATTTAAGTCTTTTGTGTGTTATGCAACATATTGTGTTAGAGTAAAGGTGACAGGCAGCTGCCTCCACCTCCATGTGAAAAGCTTAAACCTGTGTTAAAGGTAAGCTATTTTCTGTCAAAGCTGTCCGTTAAAGCTTTTGACTCCATTGTGCCTTTTTGTCTTCATCTTCCCTCCAGGAAGCGGAACTACAAGCTAAATTATAATTAAATCACATGTTTAATGACCTAAATGTTAATAAAGTGCCATAAAGTCATTAAGAAAACTGTTGTTACACTGTAATTAATGCTTTTGTTTAATAAAAACACTGAACCAACATGTTGGACTATGTGTTTTGTGGCTGTATGTGCTAAATTGATTGTTAGGACATCAACATGCATGCTACAAAATCATCTAAATGACAGCTTCTACTGGTGTGATCTTTGTGTTCTCTTCTTTTGGTCAGGTTCATCAGGAAAAAAGCATCGACCAAATCTCAGAGGTCAGATAGAAATCACATCTGCAGTGTCCAGAAGTGTTCAGGGTATAGTCACGTTTACAGGGCCACAGGGTGAGGAATGCAGAGAGCAGTGTGTGTAACAGTAAATCACTTTGTTCACCATGTGCCATGCTATACCATGAGTATACAAAGGATTCCTTATTGACCGGTTGGCTCCCTCCTCTGGCTTGTAGTGTGAACAACCAGCTCTGCACAGAAGATCTTGCACAACCACATTATGTGTGTGCAAAACTGCCAGACGGCGGCGGCTGTCAGACGTGCTCCCTCTACTGCTTCAGGGGTCTTGGTGCAAAGAGACAGGATGGTGTCAGGTTTGTAGTTGAGAGCCTTTTCATGTAGAGGCCAAATCATTTATTAATTGACTGAATTTACATGGTTTTTTCTGCTTATTTGATTAATAAATTATATTTTGCATATTTTCTTTATTTTTAAATCTTTCAATTGAAGTAATAAATACAAACACATTCTGGTGTAAATGTAGTTGCTAAAACATGCTTAATAAGGAGTAAATCGAACAGAAGTGTCAATAAATATGAATAATATTTTTAAAATTTACATTTTTTGTGTTTTTTTAAAACATGAAGCAGCTTCTACCTGATTATGTAATTTATGACCTAAAGAAACTCAACTAAAATGTTTAAACAAGAGCTAATCATTACCTAAGATAATCTCACTCTTAATAGTTGTATTATGATGCCTCAAATGAATTCAAAAAGTGTAAAAGGAAAAAAGTGGGAGTAGGCATTCGCTTTAATGTTGAACTGCTTGTTTTCTAGAGGAACGGTTTCATTTGAAAAGGTGAAGATTCACATATGTAGGGGGAGCTCTTGCCTGGTGGTGTCAGCCTGATGGTGAGTGTGTGTTTTCAGGGTCTGGTGAGGAGTCAGGAGGAGGGGCTGTTTTGTAGCACAATGAAGGAGTCGGAACACCAGGGAGGAGAGAGACAGATGCAGCGTCTGGTAGGAGGAGCAGATTTTAATTTTTTTATGTGATTCATTCAAACCCAAAAGGTCCAAACTTAAACTTTGCTCTTCTAGGCGTTAGAGGAACAGACAACACCCTCATTTCTCCTAACTGAAATAGGAGTTCTGCTAAAAATATCAAAAAATCAATGCATACATATTTTTAAGTTGAGGTCCAGGCTGCTGTTATGGAATAAAAAGAAGTGACGCAGGCGTGATGTTCTGAGAGCTGATTGGAACGGGCCGACCCATTTCTGCCTGCGAGAGAATGTCCTGTTCCTTTGGTGTTTGTTTTGGCTGATGTTAGCCTCTGCCAGGCGTCTTCATCTTCCTTTCATCCTTCCCCCTTCAACGGCCAAACTCCCTTTGAAGCTCCTCTTTTTTCACCAGTTTTTTTTTTTTTGTTTAGGAGCTTCGTTTACGGAAGCTAAGAGGAATGTCACATCGGGATCCGATCCAAAGGATTCGTCTGATTTGATTGGAGATCTTTCCTTTTGTTCGAGTCCTTTCAACCACTTCCTGGAAGAGTGTGGGTGCTAAATTAATTTCTCCTGATCCAATCTCACACTTCAATCAGCTTAGTGCTAATCTTGGACTCGTACAGTGCAGCCTGCTCTGGTCTGGACTGAGCCGAAGCTGTCCAGTACTCTTTTTTTTCCAAGGTTTTGACCCCTGGCGCTGTCGTTCCCACTCCCCTATGTCATGCGTCGCCCTTTTTTCCACTTCCATTCTCTCCTTGCTCATTAAGCTTTTGGGACGCTTCTGTTTTAAGCGTGTTATTGTGAATGAACTTGGCGTATTTCTCTTTGCTTATTCAAATCCTGTCACTTGATTGCTTTTCTCTGGAGAGCTCTAACTATCGTACGTTCTTCTCCTTTCCTCTCATAAAGTCTCAATGTGCTTAGCGACTCCTTAATGATCTAAAAAATTCTCCTGGAAAAAACATGTCATACCTCGGGCCGTGTGCACACATAGCCGAGATTTTGTAAAACCAAAAATCCTTCCCTGCCTATGTTTGAAAAACACTTGGCACACCGGCTCATTTCTAGCTAAAAAAAAAATAAATAAATCCAGTGCATTTTGAAATGCATGCCAAGCCTGTAGGTGGCAGTAGTTCCCCAAATTGTCACTGTCTTTTGCTGAAAAACATTCCTTGGGTGTGGAATAACAGTCTGTAACAGTGACCTTGGCCTCTTGTCTCCTACGTAGTGCGGTAATCGAGCTTGTAGAAACAGGCAGTGGGGTTGCAAAACCTTAACCCCTTTTTTCACGTCCATGAGCAAACTCTGACAACGGCGAATTCGCAAATATCCCATTTAGTCTAAGTTTTCGAAAAAATCTTTTGGTGCCATTTCTCTCCACTTTCGTGGGAATGACCGGCCTTATGGTAGGAAAAAAGCCTTTGTGTTGTGGGAAACCCAGCTATGTGTGTACAGGGTCTCAGAATCTCTTTGCATTTTATTTCCCATTTTTCTCCTCGAGGCCTGTTCCCATCACTGTCCTTTTTCCTGTGCTATTTAATAAAGAGACGCGCTGAAAAGCGGAGTTGTTTACTGTGCCTTCAAACTACAGGCTGTCTAGAAACAGGAAGTACCATAGCCTCAAAGCACAGCAGCCACTTCCTCCTCCTCCTCCTCCTCCTCGCTACGCAGCAGCTCCAGCAAAACAACCCTCATGCTTATCAGAGAATTATGCACCCCTCCCTCTCCTCTGCCCATCCTCCTGAATGGTGCACATGCACAGCAAGCTTTTCAGCCCTCCACCGTGTCCCGTGTCGCTTTCTTCTATTCTCTTATGTCTGCAGTCTCCCCTTGCCAATACAGCATGCCTGAGTAGCTGATCGGAGATGAAGGAGCTAATTAAGTTGATTTAGCTCTCTCTCTCTCTCTCTCTCTCTCTCTCTCTCTCTCTCTCTCTCTCTCTCTCTCTCTCTCTCTCTCTCTCTCTCTCTCAAAGGCAGTGGAAAAACCAGCCATCCAACCCTCCTCCTCCATCACAGCATATCAACATAACACCCCTCCCAGATGATTTTCCACCTATCCTCTCTAGTCTCCTTTGGCAGCATCCAAACTCTAAACCTTCCCTTCCTATTCTTTCTCTGTTTTCTTTCCCGTTACGCAACCATACTCTGTCATCTGCTTGGTGAGCGTTAACTCTTTCTTCAAATTCGTCCAAGGCGTCACATTCAAACATCTCTTCCCAACTCAGGGGCATTCTGTGTGGTTTTGTGTCGCAGCGCTCACACAAACATGTTTGTTGGAGCTCGGTGCACTCGCTTTGGCGGGTCTAAAAATGGGTCATTTTTGTGTCATTTGAAACTTTGATAGATCCGCCCATCGAGTTGTTTCAGACAGGCGTCTAAACGTGTCGAAACACGACTCATTCATCACACTTTTAAGTGATTTTGCATCCTAATTCAAGGTAAAAGTATGACATTGCACAAAGTTACAAAAAAACAGATATAGTAGGATAATAATTAAAAAATAAAACAAAACATGAGTTATGCATCTTTTTTAATAAATAAAATACATATTAGGATTAGTACTTTCATCATCAAACCTGCAAGATTCAGCCCAATACGAGTCTACTGCTAACTGGTGGAGTAGGTTGTAAGAATAGGAAAGAATAGAAAATCCCTCTATTGTACCTCAGTGGGGAAATTACATTCATTCATTCATTATAGGAGCAAAAAAAAAAAAAAGATTGTAAAACACATCAAATACAGAGTAAACAACAAGAAAACAACACAGGAGCACTTAAAAGATTAAAAAAACTCAAAGATTAAAAATACAAAAAGGCACATTTTATTCATTTACTGGTGTTTCAATCCAACTTTATTTAAAAAGCACCTTAAAAAACACAAAAAGCTCTAAATAAAAATAATACATGACCTAAAATGATACAGTAAAACCAAAAAATTCACAGAAATCAATGTGGTGCTTTAAAGGCAAAGAGATGGATTTTGAGTGCAGATATACATTGTTATTTAAAAACACAATAAAACTTAACATTTTTATATTAACATTGGATAAGAAACACCACCATTTAAAATATAGAACAAAAAGGTGATTCCTGGTTTTACATGACTGAATTAAGTTGTCCGATGCTCTAAATAGACCAGGCTTGTGTACAAATGAGTTGGCGACCCCACATCCCAAATGCACAGAGTCTGATTTTTTATTTTTTTAAACAGTTTTTGTGCAATTTTCTACTTTTTATGATTAAAAACATTTGACAGTTTATGAAAAGATTGTGCAATTTACCAGAAAAAAACAAGTATTAAGTAGAGTGTTCTTCATGCTGAAGCTGGTGCACAGATTTGGTTTTCTCTGAGCTGCTGCCGTGACGTACGGTTCTGTAAACAGAGGAGTATTAGCTGTAGACATGCTCCAGCACGCTCATCCCCTCCCCCTCTTCTACTGATGCTTCATCAAATTACGCAACGTACCACCCCTGTGTTTGTAAGACAATGCTGTATCATTAAACACTCTTTTATTACCCTGAAACATCTGGGGTGCTCTTTTGTCCGTGCACCAGCAGAAAGCTTTACTTCTGCAGGTCCGTGCTTTTGTTTTCTAATCCGTGCAGGCCGCAGACATAAAACTTGTTGCGCTGGGTTGCTGAGAAGCCGCTACTTCCTCTTTAAGAAGCCGCTGACATCTGAACTCATTGAACGCTCTTTAACCCTCTTATGACCATAATTATAACAGGGCCGCCTGGTATTTTCTTAATCTTATGGCTGTAAAATTGTAATAAAAAGTTTGTGTGTGTAACTCTTCTCCTTTTTTCAGAACAACCTCAGCTTTCAGTGTGTGGTTTGTATTTAGAATTAATTTATATTAAAGCCTTTAAAATATCAGCTTAAAGGTGAAAAAAGCACAAAATGGATTTGAATTTTTTACATTTATTACTGAACAGGAACTTCTAAATTACTGGGCAAACAATTTAAACTTTGAACTGTAATGCATCTATTCTTAAAAAAGTGTGAGCCTCGGTATCTTTTTAGCAGTTTTTAAGACCATTTATTTTTGTAAACTTTCAGACGTTTTTATTTATTTTAGCAAATAGTTGAGGGTTGTTCAAATAAAAAAATAAAGACGGAACAAACATTCATACCCTGGTTCACCGGAGATCTGTCCTTCTTCGTGGTCACTGTCTTCAGACATAAGCCTTCTGGGACACCTCATGGATCGTGTTGATTTTCTTTGAGGCATTTCCATAATTTCATGCTGGTTTTTATGCTAATTATCTTCCCCGTTCCGTTATCCGCTTTCACCGCGCCGCTGCGCTGTACAGCAGGATTTCCCCTCATAGCGATATTTTCCATAACTGATTGCTTGATGCTATAGATCGTTGGAAAGCTGCTTTTATGTACTTTAGGAACCAAACTTTTGAATCTGATTAGCCATTCAAAAGTTATAAAACGGAGCATTTTGGACGACAAACTCAGCACGTCTCTGAATCTGTGTTGTGATTCGTTGCGCTCAAGACAGGGAATCCCGGTGGCTACCGTAATGTATTGTATATGCGCGAAAAGCCCCATTTTTAATCTTTTCAGCAATTTTGGAATTTTACAGATATCTTGAATGGTTCAGGAATTATGGTAATGAGAAGTGCGCATGTCCAATCCTGTCGGCGGCGACAGGTTGCTAATAAGAGGGTTAAGTTCCCTCTTTGATCTCAGTCCAAGTCAGCTGGAGAGCAAGTTAGTAATCTTTTTTTATTATTATTTATATATTTTTTTGAGATGACTGAAGATGTTTACAAACACTCCTTGGGATCTAATCACGCAGGTGTCCATGTAAGCAAGAACACATCCTAAAAGTAAGGAGAAACACACACTACTCTGTTTCTGATTCTCTTTATTCATCACACCACACATAAGCATCACGCAAAATATCTGACGTGTGACATTTATCAGAATGAACCCACACACACAAACATATCAAAGCCCCTTTGCTCTGAATCTAAAACAGTCTGAATGCTGGTGTGACTGC